GAAAAATTGTAATCAAATTTTCTATGTGTTAGTCTATATACTATCTAAAATCGTGAAGATTTTGGAAAAGATTTCATGGTTCTTACTTTCAATAACTCACAGCATAAATGCTGAAACAGATCCAATACCCAACTAAAAACTGGCTAATAAATAACCATTATATCCCTTAGCTTTTGTTACAAAACAAGCTACTCTTAGATGTAGTGACTTAAAACAATAATCTTCTAAAGAATTTTTTTCAGTTACACGTATAGAGCAGTGGTTAGACAATCATATACTGTACAAAGTGGTTCCACAATATTTTAAGTACCCACCTGGCAATATACATAGTTGTTAAAATACTATTAATTATTATATATGGTCTACCCAGAAGGTATCCAGCCATGTAATGTGAAAAATAGAGGCATTTATTGAAGAAGATACAAGGAACATTGAACATAGAACAATAATACCTCAGTCCCTTTCAAAGTGGGCACTTTGGGACCTCACACCGTTCTCCCAATTGCCATCAGCTTTCCTGTTGTATTTTCCTGAATCTCATCAATGGTAGGGTATCTTTCCCTTTCAAAGGTGATTTTAGTTTTGGGAAAACCAGAAGTCTAAGCATGCCAGGTCTGGGCTGTAGGGGGGCTGATCACCTGGGTGATTTGATGTTTTGCCAAAACCTCTGCATGAGACGTGATGCATGAGTGAGCACGTTGTTGTGATGAAGTTGCCAATCATAAGTTGCCCATAGCTGTGGCCTTCTGAATCATCCGAATAGTTTCCATGGAGAAAGGTTCGAACTTAATGCAAAATTTGATGCAGATTTGTTGCTCTACTCACTCAGACATTTTGAATGTGAGGGCCACACAGTACACATGTTTATTCAACGGCATCTAATGTCCCCACTGACAGTACGGTGAAGTCATCATTGTTCACGCATGCACACTCCAGGCCACGCTCCTTGGCTGCCGAGTTACATAGATGTCACATAAACCATTCTCATTATATTAACAACTGCTGGACTTTTTCTGAACAGACCTGTGTGTGTGTGTGTGTGTGTGTGTGTGTGTGTTTTAGCTAGCAACTCTGAGTTGGCAATGTCAGCTGGTAATGTCAGTTGGCCAGTTCTCTTGGCCTTGCCTGGGCTGTCAATATGTTGGTTTGGTTTGTCTGGGGGCTAGTGGTTCTAGGATAGCCACATTCATATGGCTGGCAGTTGATACTGGCTATTGGTTGGTACTAACCCTGAGTTGGGGAACAGGGATGAATAGGCCACGTGTCTCCATCAGGACAGCCTAACGTCTTTCACATGGTTGGTCTTAGGGTTCTCAAAATCAGCAAAAAACACAAGCCTTAGTGCACACCAGTCAAGTCTCTTTTGCCTTGTCCCTGCTCGTGACCTCTTTGGCCAAATTATATCAAATGGCCTAATCCAGGGTCATGATATGAGAGTCTAGCCAAGGACATGGATACAAGGAGGCATGGATAAACTGGGGTCATTGTTGCAATAATCTATCCCAACAGTATAAAATTTGACTAGAATGAGATTGATGTGCAAAATCACAGAATAAGTATTATTTTGCAACTACACCTTACTAAAAAATCAAGCACTAAAGAATAGTTAAAATAAACACTTTAAGAAATTGATACAACATTATTATGACTAGAATAGTTTAAGCAGACCTTCAAGTAAAGAATGGCATGTAACGGCTCTCAAAGAATGGGCAGGAATTCAATGTATAGGGAGGAAGTTATAGGTAAATGAGGGATAGAACTTAAGAAAAGGATGGAACTGACAAAGAACATAACATATATGTAAGCCAGTGAAGGAACAAACTTAAGTTGAGTAGATAGCCCATCTGAAATAGTAGAACGTAAGACTAAAGAGTCAAATCAGCATAAATTATGAATGGGGACATTTAAAGGTCAGCCATAGTTCAGAATGGCTGTAGCTCCATTCAACAATATTTTGAGAAAATCATTTAGTAACAGCATTAACATGGATGAGATCAGGGGTGAGCAGTGAAAGCCAGATACACATTTATTACAATAATTCAAATTAAAGTACTAACATTGAGAATAAAGAGTCTCGGACAAATCTAGGAGACATATTAAATAAAAAGAAGGAAAGGTACAAATTTGATATATATTTTATATAGAAAACAGTGGAATTTTTGAACTATAGATTTATACACAATATCTGTTTCCTCTCCCATTCTTTTTTCTTCTACATCATAGTCTTCCACATAGTTGGAAAGAGTGAAAGTATCACTACATTTTTAGTACTTCGCCCCAGCTGTTCAGCTGTTTTCCATAGGGCTTTCAACATTTCCTGCTTCTGAATACTCTGTAATTTGTCGATATCATTGAACTCTGGTGCCTACACTAGAACACAATACCTCGTATGTGCCTGACCAGCACAGAGTGAAAGTATGATTTGAATATCATACTTACATTAATTCAGTTACTATCTATATTACATATTTTTCCTATGATGTCACATGACCAAGTCATATTTATCCTATAAAATCAACTGAATTCCTTAGAAATTTTACATGAGGGTATCCAAAGGTGGACTGTTTTCTAAATCAATTTTCTTTCAAATGTGTTTACACATTATGCTCCAAAAGATTTTTTTAAAAATAAATTGTACGCCTATTAAAATTGAAAGATGACCCATTACAGATATGGGCAAACTTCTAAAAATATTTAGGGATGTTTTTCAATCCCTTTTAAAGTATTATCTGACTGTCATTACATCGTCCTATAATACAGTGATTTTCAACCAGCATGTTGCAAGAATTTTTAAAACATGCACTACCTGACTATTTAGTCAGGGGCACTGTCTTGTTATCCCTTAGGTTGTCAAATAAAAAAATGACAACAGCCAACACAACAAGAGCTGTCCAGTGTGAATGAATCAATTGCATCTATTTTTTTTTTCAGATTGGCAAAAAGTATATTTTTTGGTGTGCTGAGAATTTTTAAATTAGTTTATGTGTACCATGAGATGAAAAAAGTTGAAAATCACTGCTATAATGTGTGGGTCCATATTCAAATGCATTATTTAGTAAAATTATATTCTTTTACTTGCATGGTAAGAGTTAACTGAACATGGTTATAGAAGCAGTTCTAAAACCTCTATGCTGGTTCTTAACATACTACTTTATCTCTAAAGAGCACAGAATCTAAAGTCAAGAGAAATAACTCCACTGAGAAGCCAGGCATTTTCTGGACATTCACATGTTGTATGAATCAAGATGCTCACTACTAAATATGGCATTACAATGACAACTATTCCTTTTAATGACCTAGGAAAAGAAAGAAAACTATCAGCGATGCCTTACAAGCCTTTCTTCTTCTTGCAAGACAGAAAACAAGCGAATATGACAGTTAAGGGACACAGCTAAGACAAGAATATACTCCTCCCCTCTATTAAACCTCCCTCATCACACACACACCTATGGCAATTTTATTTAACATTGTAAGTCATCTAACATTATCACTTTCTTTTTAACAAATTTGCTAAACACTGAAAATCATCTAATCTCAATGACCAATGATGAATCAAGCACATATCAAAGAATTATTCTTTAATAAATAAAACATTATTAAACATTGTTCTTTATGGTAAAAAAAATTACTATAAATTTCATGTTAGTACATATCCTCTTCTGTATTAAAATTTTCTTCAAGGGTAAGGATGATCTTGTACTTCTTTTATGAATAGTTGCGGATAGATTCTTTCATAACAGCTATTCAACAAATATTTTTTGTTAAATGTAAAAATCTATGATAGAAGCAAACAAAACCCACTAATATATAAAAATATGTATAAGTGTCTGCCTTTCAACAGGGGTGATGAAACCTTTTAGGATATGAAAATTATTGGGTTGGCCAAAAAGTTTTTTCCATAAAATAAGAGATATTTTTAATTTTCACCAATAACTTTATTGATTTGGATATTTTGAGTATCTTGGCTATCTCCTATGTGGTGTAACATTTTGATTGTTCTCAGTTAATGTCTCAATTTGATCACTGTCAACTTCAACTGTTCTACCTAACCATGAAGAATCACCTAGCGAGAAATCTCTAGCACAAAACTTCGCAAACCATTTTTGACACATTCAATCAGTCACAGCACCTTCTCCATACACTGCACAAATCTTTTGTTGTGTTTCAGTTGAATTTTTACATTTCTTGAAATAATAAAGAATAATACACTGAAAATGTTGAGTATTTTCTTTCATGTTCAATATTAACATGCTTACATAAAAATTCAGCAATTTTTATGTTTTTTAAAATGCACATTGACATGACAGCTGTCACAATAGAATCTAAAAAAATTGTTTCAAATAAAGTTCAAGACAAATAAGCACTACTAGAGCCATCTTACAGAAACAACCAAACTTTTGGCCAACCCAATACATTGGGTAACTTTCAATCAAGATGGTAGAGTAGGTAAATGCTATGCATAGCTCCTCCCATGACCACATCAAAATTAAAACTAAGTAATAGAACAACTGTTACTGAGAACTACCTGAAGACTAGCTGAACAGAACTCCTATAACTAAAGATATGCAGGGAAGGCACATGGAATTTGGTAGCAGGGGAAAAAACACAGTACAGGCAGGCCCCACACATGTAACAGAATACTGCTCAGCCACAAAAAGGATAAAACCTTGCTATGTACACAACGTGGGTGGACCTAAGGTGTATTGTCCTGAGTGAAAGAAGTCAGACAGAGTAAGATAAATACCATATAACTTCTCTTATATGTGGAATCTAAGAAATAAAATAAGCAAGTAAAATGGAAACAAACTCATTGATCCAGAAAACAAACTGATCGTTTCAGATGGAAGGGGGACTGAGGGAATGGGTGAAAAGGGGGAAGGGATTAAGATGTACAAATTGCTAGTTATAAAAACAGTCACAAGTATCTAAAGTAGAGCATAAGAAATAATAGTCAATCATATCGTAATAACTAAATGGTCTCAGATGGACACTAGACTTACCAGGGTGATCACCTCATAAGGTATATAAATGGCTCATTACTATGTTGTACACCTGAAACAAATATAATGTATCATGTCAACTGTAATTGAAAAACAAACATTATTTTTTAAAAAGATTATATTGGCAATAGAGGGCAACCTGTTATTTCTTCTAATAGTTGTACTCTGAATAAATAAGAGGAAACTTCCCAGGGAAATGGCTACGGCTCTTAAGGTGAGAGAGAGAGAATGTACCACTAGAAGGCAGTAGCCCCCTCACTTGCTTTAACTAAAGTTTCTCTGAAGCATAACTGCCTGTACGTATAGCTGTTTAATATTTCTTCCAGGTAATACTTGATAATTTTCTTCCTCTCACAGTAATGTCTGTTCTGGTTTCACTAACTTTGAAATCTCAGTAATTTATAGGTGTAAGACCAAATGAAACATTTAGAATATGTTGTTTTTATTGTTATTGTGGTCTAATAATTAAAAAATAAGGTGACACCTTATTTTGAATTTGGAAGAAAAATCATTTCTCACTCCAAGCACTGTTTTACAACTAAAATTTAGTCTGTGGCCTGTTGAATGCTAGTTAGGATTGCTTCGTCTCCGAGCACACTTTGTCCTTTATCATAGCACACAGGCAGCTGTGATAGAGCCCTTTGCCAAAAATAGCTCTCCACCAGGCTGTTGCTGTACCTGAAGTCCACTGATAGTGGCTCCAAACCTTTTCAAAGTGAGGGCCCTTTACCAATAAAATTTTGTACACCCCCTCATGTGATCATTCTTGAACTCTTAAGATCAGTAGATTAAAATACACATATATATATATAACATAAAAAGAGACCATAAAAAGATACAATAACTTCACTGAAACTTTTAATGAGTTAATATTGTATTAGTCGCAATAATGTAGATTAAAAAGATATTAGTACAAATATACAAAGTATATTAGTCAGTCATTAGTCAAGGCACTTTACCTAAATAAGTTCATGAACCCCTTAAAATAAACCCATAGTATACCCTTTACCCATAGCATACGATCTGGGATCTGAAAGAAGAGAATCATTGAAATTATGTTTTATTACACTCAATTTCCCCTTTTAAGATGGAAACGTCATATTTTTCTGGTTATATTTTTTAAAAACCACACCAGCTCTTAGAAAGTGTATCTCTCTGCATGCAGCTAAGAAATGCCAGTTCCTGTCATTCATCAAGCACACGCCCTACATCAATGTGTATTTAGAGCTCCCTATATGTGTTCTACCTGTGATTTTTACCAAAGTTGAAGTTTTAAAAATATCAATGGAAGCTTGATCTCTAAAGACGTCAATTCCAAATACAGTTTGTCTGTTTGACCTGAGCAACTTTATTTGGTGTCCTTCTGAGTACGCAACATGCATTCTTAGTTCAAATGTCTTGCGAGTTTTGACATCACAGATGAAATATCTCCTGACCTATTAAAAGAGTATCTGGCATCAGGTAGCTCTGCAGAGAGCCAGGATTCCAGAGCTCATGTTAGCTGATGGTGAAACTCCACCGCGCAAATCTGAGAGAAGTCAAATTGTGTATTTTACGAAAGTAACTTATTGTACAGTCTGCTCCTGCCTCTCATTGGAATTTGTCAACCAAAGAAAAACGTTTTAATTAAGTCAAATACATAATCACACATCTATGCTTGTTTAATTAGTATCAGGGAAAGGTCCCAAACATAATAAAGATTATATATACTACTAAACTGAAGAAAACAGACTCAAAAGACAGCACTAAGGAGTCATCATATAATATGGAGAAAATTAGTTGATTTTATATTTTTATGCCTCAAGGTTATTTTACTGTAAAATTGAAGTGATTATTCTTACTCTTATCAAATATTCTCACTTTTGTCAAATGTAGAAGCAGGGCCTGTGAGTCAAAAGATAAAAGAGAGGTATAAGCTTACCCATAGCTTATGCCAGTGTTTCTCTCCCTTTTCAAAAGTCCTCTTAGGAGCCTCAAAACTCCACAGTACCTCACATGTAGCGGTAGCACTCAGTCAGACAGTTCTGGGCAGTTGTGGGCCCTTAGCAGTAGATAGGACTGTCTGGAATTTGAAGGCCACGGGTTGGGAAATGCTGATCGGGGCTAACCTTCATTTTCTGAAGTCCAGAGAGATGAAGCAATTCACACAAAATTACACAATTAGCTAGGGTCAGCTAGAACTAAAATACAAGTCTCTTCATCTTTGTCTCATACAATTTCCACTATGTCAGAATTATAAATAAAAGTACATAGAGACATTGAAAGAAGATTCCTATGCTAATTCAGGGAACTATATATTCAGGCAAATCTATCAGCTAAGCCCCGAGAGCACTGCTATTCTCCTGATCTGGAAACACAGAGGGGTGCTCAGGAAACGAATAAATAGAATGGTTACAAATGGTTTCATGTCAGACTGGAGACATAAATAATGTTTAGCAGGTGTTAAACCAAGGCCTGGTTCTGCTTGATATTTTCGTCAGTGACCTAGATAAGACATTGGCAACCAAAGGTGCTCAAATCTCTCAAAAGAATTTTACATTTTAGGAAGCCTTGTAGTGTCTCCTGCCCACAAATTCATCTTCTCCCATAATCAAGTTTTATTTCATTCTCAGAGCTCAACTGATCTCAGCAAAGAGATTACATAATTAGTTATCACTAACCTATGAGTGACTAACGTAACAGATGGACCACTGTCCTAGAGACCTTTTATTTAAAAAAAGAAAATCAAAACAACAGTTTATTTATCCAAAAGAATAGTATTTAGTGGGTGGAGATATGCGTCTCTGTGTGGCTTACCCACTAGAACTTCCTGCCAAATATAACCACAACTTCCCTAAATTCATTAACATTTTTGAAAAGATGCTTGAAGATTTCAAAAGAGAATACTCCTTCTTGCTGAGCCTGAACTAACCCTCTGAACCCTTGTCAATGTGATTCTCCATGCAGCCTACTAACTGATCAATAAAAATTGATCAACACATACAATGAAACTTATTTGCCATTTCTAACCTATATGATCTAAGTACATGCCTGCTTGGAGGTAGAGAACAGTATTTTATAACCTCTCAAAAAAAAAAAAAAGCAATCCTCAACTATAGCTCATTTTATGAAAAAATGGTTATATTTCTTTTTTGCTCCCAGTTATAAACAAACCATGCTGTAGCCTGAAGAAAAAGAACATAGTAGCAGTTTTGGTTTGTATCAAAGAGGAAGCAGATTCTTTTTCAGGATCACTTAGATCTAAAAATCATTTCTGAAGTCACCAGAATGCCTGCAGTGACACAAATTAGGTAAAGTGAAATTCTAGCCATGTGTAGTATAAACTGATGTGCACACTACACCATTTTTTAAAAAATGAAAATGATGTCAATTGTGAGGAGGAAAAAAACACAAGCAAGTGTTTACAAATGAGGCTACTCTGAAGCAACCACAAGTATCTGACAGGTCAAGAAAGTAGACTGTCTCCCCCAGGTTTTGCTGTTAAAAATACCCCAGTGATGTATTTGTACAGGCAGGAGAGGGAAAATTTCCATAAATATTTCTAGGAAGTTTAGTCAAAAACTTAAGTTTCTAGCAAAAATATATTGACCATTATTAGAAATATTTCAAATTTAGTTAATACTCAAAAGGCAAAAATAAGAAGTCTGAATTATAGCAACATTTGTTTGTAGAAATAGTCTGTATATGTTATGTATTTTTCTAATTTTTTCCATTCTTTCCCTGCTTTCCTGTCCAATGATTTTCTTCCTGCCAAACTTTATTTTTATTCATCATGTTTTAAATGTTTTATTTCTTTTCTGCTCCAAAGTGTGTGTGTGTGTGTGTGTGTGTGTGTGTGTGTGTGTGTGTGTGTGTGTTTTACCTTATCCTGTAAACTTTCTCTTCTGCATTTCAATTTATTTTTAAGGAAAAAAAATACATTTAAATGGGTGGGGTGGGCAGGGAGAGAGAACTTCACCTTCTAGCACTGGTAGTCCATCCATCTCCATAAATGTCCTTCGTCCTGATACAGGCTTCCCTGAGTGTCGACACTCAACCATGAACTGTGACTTGGCATCTATGATATCTAATCCTAACTCAGGTTTATGACACTTCACAATTTTTTCCCTTGAGAAGAGCCAATGCTGAGCTGGCTCAATATCACCAAGCACTGGTCTTTGAAGAATGCTCTCCTCAGGTCCATATAAGAAATAAAGAACTTGGTTATGGCAGATTTTCCTAATTCAGCAGCATCCCTGAGAGTGAGGAGGAGGCTTCAAACCTTATCCCACATTAATTTAAGGAAGAACTAAAAAGAAACTATGAGTTTATTTGACAACATTTAATGAAGGTCTGATAGTTGTGACTCCTAACTTATTAAGAAAGATAAATATTTGTGTACATGAAACACCAATTAAGTAGACAATGACTTAACTGATTATAAACTTAAAAACTGATAAGCTTCTACAACTCCCTCCTCTGATGAATTTAGAAGAATGACTTCAGCCCTTCATTGATGCCTAGGTTGAGGAACAAAGCAAGGAAAAAAGAGGAAGAGCGTCAGAGCTCAGAAACAGGATCAGGGACTAGCTTAAGTCATATATTTCTAGTTCTTTTGGTTTTTGGAAACTACTTCATCTGTATTTTCTTTAGACACAGACAATATTTTCCCATGTTGTAAAGTGTACATTCTTGTTCTGGCTAATACAACATTTAATCTATTAAACGTGCAGATCTGTCTTACATTCCGACTGTCTTTATGCCTCCACACTCGCAGTTCTATACTAGTTCTACAAACAGAGCTAATCTTAGCTAGCAATTTTAGAGAATACATTAAATTTAAATGTAAAAACATCTTTCTCAAAATTCTTTCAACAAATGACCCATGTCATTTCCTCTAATACTTTGCCACTGAAAGCTACAAAAGAGTTTAAGTGTTGACAAAAGACCACTTTTCCTGTTTTTACCCAGTTGTTGCAGTTTCAAATTCTTACTAAGGAATTCAATGTAAACAAGACAGAGTTTGCATTGATTTTCACATGTTCTCTGAAACCTCTGAGCCTCATAATCATCCCTAGGGTTATGTAGAGGTATGTAGAATGATCACAGCTGGATGTAATTTATTCTCCCCCTCCCCCTTTTATTTTCTGTAACCTAATTTAAGATTACAATTCAAGAACATGGAAAATTAGCCTTACAATTTGGGGACACCCTTTACGTGGCATATACTCCTATACTCTGTAGGAGAATATCCATCTCACAACTCAATGCCAATTATTTTAGGACACATCTAGTCACTTAGAATGAACTATGATAGTCTTCAAAGCAGAATAAGGAAAAGTTACTGGTTTGCTTTTGGCAAAACCTATTCATTTTATACAGATGACGGGAGGAAAAATAAGGAGGCTCTTCACTGTGGTTTCTTTTCCTTCGACAAGCATACCAAATGCTGATAAAGTCTTTAATTCCCAAAGCACTGTCATGTATAAACTTAAATATACTACTGGTTGTTTAGAAAAGCTGGAATTGTTGGGTGTGAACGCTGCTCAGTGCACACGCAAATTGTGTCCAGCAAACAATACTGGGAACTGAGCCAAGAAATGTCATTTCTCTCACTTCAGACTTTCATAATAAGCTTCCAACACCAAAGGCCTTCCCCTGTGCCATCCTGATTAAGCCACCCACTCCCAATCTTTCCTGTTTACACAGCAAAAGACTGGTGTTTAAAAAAACCTTACCCCTTAGCAAAAGTACTCACAGAGAACCTTTCACATTGGGGCGTGTCATAAAAGTCAACTTTGAAATCTTTTGAAAGAAATTTTTAAATGAATTTCATTGATAATGAAAAGAAATAACTCACAGTTAAACCCAGCAACTGACTTTTCATTATAAAATTGCTATTGTCAGAGAGCACTGGCACATGATTTAAATTCTTATAGATTTTACCTTCATTAACATGCAAGTAACTCAGTTCTCTAATACACTGAATCAATATCAGCTTTTCAGAAAAGTCGGTCCTGGATTTGCATCACTTGTGATCTTAGTTTGTGGAATTGATCTTCCCTTGACCTAGATTGTAGAACTTTGTAGGAGACATTTTTAGGCTTGAACTAAAGTTTCTTCCTGAAATCTGAATAAAAAATAAACATTCACTCACACAGTAATGACATCCACAGTCATTTGCCTTATATAAACCAACTGCCCTCATCCAAGAAGTTCAGAAACATCTTTAATTAAATTTTTCCAGTCCCAGTATATAGCCAAGTAGATGCAGGAGATTTGTCTGCTAGCCAAATAAATTGCAATTTAATGCTAATAGAACCTAAATGGGTTAATGTGAAGGGAAGCATTCATATTGCTGACTTCACTTATGGTCCCATGGGTAAATAGAGGCCAGATTTACCCTTCCAGTGAAAACAACTAAAAAAAATAAATACAATATGTGAAACAATTATTTCAAGATATTGGATATAAAGCAATGATATCCAGTGATATTTGAGGGATATAATAATATCAGAAAATGAACCTTACAATTTCCCTAGCTAACTCTTTAAATAAAGTTTTCAGGGCACAGTACAGAAAGAAAGAATCCAAAAAAATTGCTGCTATCTCACCAAGTTAAAGCAGTGAAGCTAGAAGTTTGTGAAGGCCAAGGCAGTCATAAATGCTTAGGCACCAAAAATACAATCCATGAAAGAAATAATTGATAATCTGGACTTTGTTAAAATTAAAAAAAAACAACAACACTGTTCTGCAAAAGAAAATATCAAGAGAATGAGAGGAAGCAACAGACAGGGAGAAAATATTCACAAGAAACACATCTAATAAAAAAGTTAACCCAAAGTAAACAGAGAACTCTTTTTTTTTTTTTAATTAATTTATTTACTTTTTAAATACATTTGTCTCTGCCTTCCCCCCACCTCTTTCCCTTGCCCCCTCCCAAAACAGAGAACTCTTAAAACTCAACAGTAAGAAAATGAACAATGAATTAAAAAGTGAGACAAAGACCGTAATAGAAATTTCATGAAAAAAGATCTATAGTTGGCAAATAGCATATGAATAAATGCTCCACATCATATATAATCAAGGAAATTAAAT